AGTACAGTAAGATTTAACTTCTACTGTTAATAAGATTTTGGTAGGCTACTATTAGATGGATAGCCTAAATGTCCTAATTCAGATGGGCTACCAGTTTTTTTTTTTTTTTTTAAAGTGTATATTTTTTAATGTGATTGTTGGTACATTTGACCCGTTTTTACCATACTTTCAAAACAAAAATTAAAATAGGCCTTTTTCCAAAAGGTACATCTGGAAAAAGGGGGGTCGTCTTATAATCAGGGTCGTCTTATATTCAGGCCAATACGGTATGCTGCTTTCTGATGCACAATGGTTTTTTACTTTCACTTTCAAGATTTGCGATTGCATGTGATCTGTGTAAACTAAAGCGGCAGTACTTACCACACATTTTACAAGATCAGATGCTTGTCAGTGGTGCTTAGGATCTGTAAATCATTCGCCATCAACCCTCCTATACTCTGTTTATGTGGTAGGTGAAATCTTATGTACTATAATGTAACAGGCTACCGCTAGCAAGCAGCTAACCATGTCCCTTTAGTGGCTCGTTATTTGTTTTCCGTGCCTTTCTGAATACAGACACCAACCTATCCCTGCACATCACATCCCCTGCACAGCCTGGAACATAATGTTTATTTCCGACTGTAACGTCACAGTCGGTGTTATGTTCTGATTCGCCTATTTTTCAGTGGTCTTTTGCATGCACAAGATTTACATAAGAAGGAGGAAACAATGGTGTTTGAGGCTCACGGTACATCATTTCCATGTACAGAACTGTTATTATTCAACTATGCCAAGGTAAATACAGTTTTCCATTCTATGGCACCTTTAAAGCACTATGCTCGATTTCCAGGAACTGGAATTTTTTTTTGTTTAGTTTTTTGCTTTAAAAAGTGTTCATTCCCACCAACACAGATAACATGCTATGACAAGCAGGCTGACCATCCATCCACCTGTGACTACCATGAGTCATGCATTCCCCTTAGGCATTACTGCATAAGCAAAATCTCATCTGCCAAAGCAATAACAAAACAATTTCTCATTTATTCCTTATAATGAGAGACCAGGCACAACAAAGTGCAATTTTAACAATAGTTCCTCACTAAAGGATAATGAATTACGCTCAAAGTTAAGTGGTAAAACGGCAGAATTTGTCAGAAATGCCATCTGGAGAACAACGTGTGTTGCTGGCAGTGAGGTCTGATATAGTTTGACAGCTCTGGACAGCACTGACATCTTTCAACAGTTCTGTCCAGAGCTGTGGCATCTTATGCTGGACGGATCGATCTGACTACGCCGAGCTGCTACAGCAAACATTTCTCGCTCTAAGTATCCTTCTTTCCATCTATCACCCTTAGTTCTGTCCAGAGCTGTGGCATCTTATGCTGGACGGATCGATCGGACTACGCCGAGCTGCTACAGCAAACATTTCTCGCTCTAAGTATCCTTCTTTCCATCTATCACCCTTCCCTGTTTTCCAACTTCTTGTCTCATCTCTCATTCTTATTTATGAGTTATTTAGCAGGGGTCGCCAGCACATGGGATGACAAGCAGGATAGAAAAGATGAGTGAGAAAAGAGAGCGCTTGACTTAAGGGCAGATTTTGTGCTTGAATCAGGGGGAAGATTAAAGGAGATTTTTCACTCTTTGACTGAAACATGAGAGAAT